CCTGAGTCTTCTGTGAGGACAGAAACTGAGAGACATCCACTACTATGGAATTGGCTTGGGATGTATCCCTAGCCATCCCGCCCTCGAGAGGTCTATGCGGTACAGGTTGTCTGGAGGCTGGAGGCAGACACTGGCCTTTAAAAAAACTGTAAAGAGAAGGGCAACAATAGCAGCAGTGTTGACACCGGTGCCAGTTGCTGGTCAGAAAAAAATGGGAACATCTACCGGAGATAGCAAATTAAAGGCATGTGCAAGGGCATATGGCAAGAAGACTCATGAACCCAATAGGGAGGGTAGGAGGCATAGTGATAGCCAGTGCTCCTTGGGCAGGAATAAGCAGAGTCCTGAGAGTGAGACCCAAATGGTGAGAATCAGGCGAGCCCTCATACTGGGAACGCCTTGAGTGGTGCCCAAGGCCAACAGGAGGCAGGGGGCAACAAACTTCCCCTTGATACCAATCAGATGGAATATACGCTGTGGATTTCATGGCATAAAAGACCTCCCTGTAAGAGGAGCCTCGAGGTGATGCTTAAGAAAGCCGTGGTAATGGCTGCTGATGGACCCCCACAATGGTGAAGGGGAATGACACCAGCCATGATCCAGGATAGGGGAACTCCAACAGCACTCGCCTCAATACCTCTGCCCCAATACCTTGTTTGTAACTTGGGGGCTGCCTATCTAGGGGCAGGGAACATACAATTTAAATGAGGCAAGAGCAAACTTCAGTCCTTCAGGTGTTTTGAACACTAACTCCCAAAAGTCCTAACAGCTGGTAAGCTGGCTGGGATTTCTGAGGGTTAAGTCTAAAACATCAGAAAGGCCAAAGTTTGCCCATGCCTGATTTAAAGTATGTGCTGTTTCATGGGACGTATGTCAAATTTCCATCCAAAACTTGATTTTCCTGAATTGATGTTGTGTTGTGAATATGTTATAATCACATAAAATAAAAAGTTTCTCATAGCAGGAGATCCTATTCAAATATGCAAAACTCTCTGTGGTTATTTGGGCAGCTACTCAAAGGTAGATTATGTTTGGAATGGCTAGGGTGCACGTTCATGACACAATGGCAATGTGGCAAAGATATCTCATCCGTCCATAATCAGCTGTTCTAAACTCTCTGAAAACTAAAAGGCTGTTGAAGCCAATGTAGTAAACATGCATACATCATTACAACTACACACACAGGATATGCATTCAAAATTTTACACAAACAAACAAAATGAGTCTATCCTGTTACAATAAACTGAGTTTCACCTCAAAACAAAACAAAAAGCCATAACACTTTCGACAGTCAATACATATATATTAAAGATTAATTTCATTCTTCCTACACCTGAGGTATGGTTTCCTTTACAGCTCAGTATATTATAACAGCGTGACAGTGTGTAGGCTTTGCGTAGGTTTCTCCTCCTTTCTAGTTTGCAGTGATACTCAAGAGGTGCTAGATTTCAGGCATCTTGGTAACCTTTTGCTTTCAGTGGGTGTAAAAGGTTTTACTGTAATATATATTGCTACTGACAGAATTTTATTTTGTTCTGGAATCTCTGCAGCAATTTCTAACTTATAGGCTTCCCCGGAATGCACGTCAAAGGATTCCTTCCCACACACTGAATACTTAATAGTGCCTGACCCATTTCTTTTTCTTATTAAAACTGTTCTGCATCTTCAGTAAAGACTTTTCACAGCTAGAAAGAAGAAAACAGCTAAAGGTATTCAAAAATGAAGTGAGCTTTTGGCCTATGGAAATTTTACACACAAACACACCCTTGCCATGTTATATCTACCTAAAAGATCAATATATAATTTGATTATGAAATGTTATAATGTTTGACTGCCAGTTCCAAACAGTGAGAAAAGATACAAACAGCAAAAGCAAGTATTGAACACAAGATATGGATGAGTCAGAAGTTGTCCAAGCAGGTAAGCAATGATAGTAAGATATTTAATTCAGTATACAAAAGTCCTTACACTTTTGTTAGGGTCTGGGGTGCAAAAGTGGGGGAAAATGAATTACAAAACAATTTTTGTTAACTTGAGTGAACTCCCCTCTAGAAATGTCTAGGTCCTCCAGGGTAATTCCAAAGTCTACCACAGAATTAGCCTAGAGGACTAGAGATTCCCAGAGAAGTGTTCTTTCTTATGCCAAAGGTTGAGCATAGAGATTCCTAAAGAGAACATAATAATAAATACATAATCAAACATGCAAAAGTTAACACACAATTGTGGAGGAGTACTGTAATACTAGACCAGCAGGCCTGGAGCTTAGAAAATGTGTTATTAGTGAACTGGTTTCAGGTTATATCTTGGGACGCTGGCTTTTCCATGAACATCTCTGCTAGGAGAGGATGCATTTTCTTTGGCAGGTAATTTTTTATGTTTAGTGTTTGGTCAAAAGTGTGCCCTAGCATATACTGTTTATACTCAAATTTTGTTTTAGTTAAAGAAACATATTATTCACTCATTTAAATATTTATGCATCATTCCACCCACCCATCTGTTAATGATAAAAAGCCATCATAAAGAGGTTTACAATATAGCTAGTGCTATTATAAAGATAATTAAAATAATCTATAAAATGTCATTTAAAAATTAAGAATAAATATAACAATACATGGGTCCTACAGCAAATCAAGTGTGAACTCTCCCTAGAAGCAGGATGACACTATGTCAGTAGAAAAAGGAAAAACAAGGAGGCGATAGGGCTTCTTCGAGGAGAAGATGGGGCAATGCTGACAGGGGGTAAGGAAAAGGCAGAACTACTTAATGCCTTCTTTGCCTCGGTCTTCTCACAAAAAGAAAGTCATCTTCAACCTCAGCAAGATGGAGTGGATGAGGGATTAGAGGACATCCAACCCCAAATTGGGAAACAAGTCATCCAGGAATACCTGGCTTCTCTAAATGAGTTCAAGTCCCCAGGGCCAGATCAACTACACCCAAGAGTATTGAAGGAACTAGCGTAAGTCATTTCGGAACCATTGGCAATCATTTTTGAGAGTTCTTGGAGAACGGGAGAAGTTCCAGCAGACTGGAGGGGGGCCAATGTGGTCCCAATCTTCATGGGAAAAAAGGATGACCCAAACAATTACCGTCTGGTCAGCCTCACGTCGATACCAGGCAAGATTCTGGAAAAGATTGTTAAGGAAGTGGTCTGCAAACACCTAGAAACAAATGCGGTCATCGCTAATAGTCAACATGGATTTATCAAAAACAAGTCATGCCAGACTAATCTGATATTTTTTTCCGATAGAGTTACAAGCTGGGTATATGCAGGGAATGGCGTGGATGTAGCGTACCTGGATTTCAGTAAGGCCTTCGACAAGGTCCCCCATGACCTTCTGTTAAACAAACTAGTCCAATGTGGGCTAGGCAAAACTACGGTGAGGTGGATCAGTAATTGGTTAAATGGACGAACCCAGAGGGTGCTCACCAATACTTCCTCTTCATCTTGGAAAGAAGTGACAAGTGGAGTGCCGCAGGGTTCTGTCCTGGGCCCGGTCCTGTTCAACATCTTTATTAACGACTAAGATGAAGGGCTAGAAGGCATGATCATCAAGTCTGCAGACGACACCAAATTGGGAGGAATAGCCAATACTCCAGAGGACAGGAGCAGAATTCAAAACAATCTTGACAGATTAGAGAGATGGGCCAAAACTAACAAAATGAAGTTCAACAGGGACAAATGCAAGATACTCCACTTTGGCAGAAAAAACGAAATGCAAAGATACAGAATGGGGGACAATGCCTGGCTCGAGAGCAGTACGTGTGAAAAAGATCTTGCAGTCCTTGTGGACAACAAGTTAAACATGAGCCAACAATGTGATGTGGCGGCAAAAAAAGCCAATGGGATTTTGGCCTGCATCAATAGGAGCATAGTGTCTAGATCTAGGGAAGTAATGCTACCCCTCTATTCCGCCTTGGTTAGACCACACCTGGAATATTGTGTCCAATTCTGGGCAACACAATTGAAGAGAGATATTGACAAGCTGGAATGTGTCCAGAGGAGGGTGACTAAAATGATCAAGGGTCTGGAGAACAAGCCCTATGAGGAGCGGCTTAAGGAGCTGGGCATGTTTAGCCTGAAGAAGAGAAGGCTGAGAGGAGATATGATAGCCATGTATAAATATGTGAGAGGAAGCCACAGGGAGGAGGGAGCAAGCTTGTTTACTGCTTTCCATGGAGATTAGGACAAGGAACAATGGCTTCAAACTACAAGAGAGGAGATTCCATCTGAACATGAGGAAGAACTTCCTGACTGTGAGAGCCGTTCAGCAGTGGAACTCTCTGCCCCGGAGTGTGGTGGAGGCTCCTTCTTTGGAAGCTTTTAAACAGAGGCTGGATGGCCATCTGTCAGGGGTGATTTGAATGCAATATTCCTGCTTCTTGGCAGGGGGTTGGACTGGATGGCCCATGAGGTCTCTTCCAACTCTTTGATTCTATGATTCTATGAGACAGTTATGCGGGCAAACTTTGGCCCTCCAGGTGTTTTGGACTGTAACTCCCACAATTCCTAACAACTGGTAGGCCAAAGTTTGCCCACACCTGCTTTAAACGTATCATGAGAAGATATGACTCACTTGAAAAAACAATTATGCTTGGAAAAGTGGAAGGCAGTAAGACAAAAGGAGCCCGCATTCCAAATGGATATATTCAGTCAACAAAGTCACAGGTGCCCTCAGTCTGCAAGACCCGAGTTGGGTTGTTGACAATAGGTTTCTGAAGGTCTCTCAATCATACCGTCACATAAGTTGAAGTTGACTTCACAGCAGTTAACAACAACAAATCTAAAAAAGGTGGTTTTCAACCTGTTTTAAGAGAATGTATTTTTTTTTAGGTGAACTGGACAGGAAAGAAGAGGATCACTACCCCCACCCCCACCCCCGGCATTCCTAATTTTCTGGATATTTAGGGGGAACCCCACATATACATATACAGATGAACCTGTATATCCCAGCATACACTGATAATCCCAAGTTGTCGGCACTAATAAGAACTGTACTCACGGGTAAGAGTCAGAAAGCCGCTGAGCTAGTTCATAAGCAGTGGGATCTCTGTCAAGTGCATATAATTTAATATCCATTTCTTTTTGCAGAAGTGCCTTGCTGTGGCCTCCAGCTCCAAACGTCATATCAAGAATACACTATCAGGAAAAAATAATAATGTTATTTCTAACTATAAATTAACGAAAAACATATAAGCCTTTACATAAACTGCCATTAATTATTTTGTATCTTTACTAAAACAACATGCACAAATATTATCAGTTTAAGTTATGTTATAAAAATATAAACCATGCACACAGAGGAATAAGTAGAGATATTTGTAACACACTCCTAGAAGTTACTGAAGGTCCCAAGAAAAGATAATTCTTTAATAGTTTCAGGTCTAGCTAATACAAATGAGGTAAGCATTGCCCTAAGATTTACAATAGTTATTTTCACATTTAACAATATTGGCTGACACGAAATGATTGGGCTCCACCTACACTGCCATATAATGCAGTTTCAGAATGCAGTTTAATGCAGTTAAACTACATTCTGAAACTGCATTATATGGCAGTGTAGATGAGGTCAATGATATGCATATCATACCTTCACTGGATGATCTTACTTTGAAGAGGAAACAGGAAAAATGTTAAATAAAAAAGTTTGGAGGAAAAGAATGTGGGAGTATATGTTAATGGCCAAATTAACCAATAATATAAGGAACAAAAGTAATGAGGACTTTTTGGAAAAATGGAAGTTGGCTAGCTTCACCGCACATTAGTGACGGAAATCATGGTGAAGGGTACACGGGTGTGGGGAAGTGGAGCTATCTTGTGTGGGATACTGTATAGGTTTAGGGGGTGTGTGTATGGTTTGTAATATGTCATGTGCTGTTGTTTGGTTGTTATGGTGAACTCTTATATTAATAAAAATTATATTGGAAAGAGGAAACAGAATCATCTGGATCAAATGACCCCAAGAACAGCCTGAGGCTATAGTCCAGGAAAAGTGTGAACCTTTGGCAGAGATGGACCTAGGTCGCCTTCCTCAGGACGTAGAACACTTGACAAGAACATTAATGTCTAAAGAAGACCAGAATGCTCATGGTCACACAAATAGGTTAGAGAAAAGGACTCTTCATGGAAGAACTCACATGAGAGACTTTTAAAAGTTTCCAATGTACTACACCTGAGCTTTGAGTGGGTTCTTAGCAGTTCCTGCTAAAGAGAAACTATATGCTAGAAACAAAGTCTCTAGCATATCTCAAAGTTCACTTCTTGCTTCTACCTCCCCTATAGTTGCACCCTGAAATCTGTAAAACAACAGCCCTTTGCTTAATCCTGGATTATACTACATCCTGACATGACTCCTCTGTCTTGACTTCTTAATTCACTACCTCTGCAAACTTAGAGCATTGGCTACCTTGATCTGCACAATCAACCTGTAGGGAAATGTCACACTAAAACATTGGCAAGATCACAACATTGCCCCCCCCCCCCGGCATCACTACACTATGGTGCTTCTTTTGACCCTTTTAAATGCCTGAACAGGAAAATATTGGTGGCAGTCAGGAGCAGCTGCCCCTCCAAGGAGCACTGGCACCTTCCCTTCGTATCAAAATCTATAATTTTGGCACCTAAGCCTGCCCTTAGCGTCTACATTATTATTATTATTTCGTATAAAAATCATTTCATAAATTAATACAAACTGTATAAAATTGATAAAAACAGAAGGTACACAGGCAGCTAAATATCTTTTTACCAAAAACGGGCAACAACAACGGCATTGTCTGTAGTCTCTAACAATTCCTCCTCTGTACACAGTGGAAAAACATACAGATGTGGAGTTGTCTGTTCTGCTCCATTCACACAAGATTTGGGATTCTTTTAGGCAGTGCCATTTTGCCAGGTTGTCCCTGGAGGAAGACCCTCGCGGGGGGTCATCCAGTTGGGATTTCGTGGTATAGCTGCCCAGAGGGATACCCTTGATGTTGCTAGGGGGACGCCAAGAAGAGTGGTAGTTCTCATAAAGCTTTTCCTTGATTTGAGTCTGCTGGGAGGCTGGTAGCCATGTTGGCTTTCACAGTGTTCAACCGTATTTCTCTCACATTTAGCAGCAACTTCCCATCGCAGTTTATCAACAGGTGTAGGTTTAAGACATCTTGTGATTATTCTGCATATTTCGTTCAATGCTACGTTCATCTGTTTATATATATTGTATAACTCAGATGGATTTCTTAAGACAGTGAAAAAAAGCAGATAAGAAGAGAATCAACTAGTTTGAAATGCTGTGCTGATAGACGGTTCTATAGACACCATAGAGTGGGAAAAGACAAATAAATGAGTGTTAGAGTAAACCAGCACTCCAAGGAGTGAAAATGATCGAACTGTCTCAGTCTTTATTGTACTTTACACCTATCATGAAACAACAGGACTCACTGTTTCATGATATGGGATGATAATGCTTGATAAAGTGGGAGACAATAGGAAAGAGTGAGGCCATATGCATACAAAAAATCTACAACCAGACTTTATAGGACCCAAGCAGAGCTGTTGAAAATTTGTCTTTGAGGTCTCCCCAATACAGTAAACCCTTGATATCTGCTGAGGTTTAATTACAAAAACCACAATGGATATGAAGACCCATGGATACTCAAGTCCCATATATGCAGTGCCCTAGGAGAATTGTGCCTCTTAAATAAAATGACCAAATCAAAGTTTGCTTTTGGGAAGTACATGGCTAAATCTGTGGATACAGAATCTGTGAATATGAAGAGATGACTAACTATAAATCAAAGCTGGCTAGACAGCAGTTATCAGCAAAAGATAGGAAAACTAGCAAGTTGCAGTGATTTAAGTGTTGGAATGTGACTCTTAGGAAGCCATGTTCAAATCCCTACTCAGCCATGGAAACCCCTGAGTAAATTACATCCTTTCAGTTGCAGAGGAAGGTAACAATCAACTTCTCCTGGAGAAACCCTGCTTTGATAACCTTATGATAGAGTTGTGTTAGATCAGAGATGACCAGAAGTTTTATTTTTAAAAAGTCATTAATCTGTATTAGCATTAATAAGAAGTACACACAGAAGGGGAAAAGGGGGGTATGCATTGTGCTATATTTGCTGGGTTACTTGGGGCACATTTGATAGGCTAACTTCAGTGTAACTAAAATATTACACCTATTTAACGAAAGCCTTTCAGAAGAAAAGTTGCAATCCTTTTGTGGACCCACAGCCACAATATTCCAAGTGGCATCATTTGTTTGCTTCTACTTTCCACTTTGCTTGGTTTATTTCTTCTGTATTCTCCCTTTAAATTCTGTACAAATGAATGACATTTTATCCTCCTAGTCCTGTAAATACCAGAACAGATTACTGAACAAACATTTCCTGCAATGAGTCACACCTCTATAGTTATGATACTCTGTTACAAGATCCTCATAGGGATTTTGTAATCAATTTGTGACTGTACATTTTAGAAAACATTCAGGTCTCTCATGATGTTTGTAGATAAACCATGCTGGTGTCTTTTCTCCTCTAATTTAGTGACATAACTGTGGAATTCTGTTGTCTTAATTTTGCATTTAAAGAAGACATAATGTGTTTTACTTGATTTGCTGGTCTAAATTCCTTCTGCAATGTTCTTTAACAGTATATTTCAAGATTTACTTTTATATGGTTCATATTTGCTTTTATATGGTTCAACATAGTTTCTCTAAGAGCAAGTGTGGTGTGTGTGTATAGTGTGTGATACGATCTAGATTTCTGATTGTACTTAAATAATATTCTGCTTTGGTCAGACCTTACCTAGAATACTGGATTCAATTCTGGCCATCGCAATTTCCCATGCCTGGATGATTATCTGACCATGGCCACAATCTTGAAACTTCTTGTCAATCTGGACTTCCAGGTAAATATCAAGAAATCCTATCTAACCCCAGTCTCTCCTCTTCAGGGAGAAATCTTACACTCCAGACTTGCCAAAATCTTCTTCCACCAGGCCAAGCTCAACATTCAAGGCCTCTAAGTCAGATTTCAGATATGGCAATGGTGCAGGCACAACTGATTACAAAACTATTGGCATTTCTTGCTATCATGATAGTAATCTCGTACTCTACAGTTACAGTTCCTCTAGCACTTCAATCCATTGCGAGACTCAGTAGCACTCAAGAGATTGATAATCCCACCTCAGATAGTTCCAACCTGCCAACCTAGCCAAAACGCAAGCTTTTTTGCCATTCACGGGCTATGACTCTCATGAACTTGGATGCTTTGGGTGGGCACTCATTTTACAAGCCTCATGATTCAGGGGAAATGGTTGGCAACAGAGCACCATCTCCACATCAACACCCTGGAGATGAAAATAGCCCTCAGGGCCTTCAAGGTGTTCAAGTGCTCTATAAAAGGGATAGCCATGCAGGTTTTGTGAGTCAACATTTACTATGTAAACAAACAAGAGGGCACTAGGTCCACAACAACAAATGCTAGTGAACCCCTGAGTCCATCATTCCGATAGGCCTATACGTACCAGGTCGGGATAATATTCTAGTGGACTCTCTCAGTTGCATAGTAAAGAAGGGAGTATGTGGGTCATAGCAAAACGAGGCACAGAAAAATTGGAGATTCCTATAGTTCTTTTCAGTTACAATCTAGGTCAACTGCTCACTAGTTTATATTTAAAAAATAGATAATTGCTGCTCAAACTGTTGATTGTTCTTTTCCCACTTTCAGATGCCCTGCCTTCATATTTATAATTGGCAAACATTTGCTATAACCTCTCATATTTCAACACTTTTAAGAAGATAGAGGAGTCAAAAAGCAACATGAAACATCAAATCATTGATTAAACGTGGGCAAAATATTAAATAAGAGAATTCACAATGTATACACTTGGTGACAACTCCTACAGTCATTTCAGCTACACTGTTGATGACCATTACACTTCTCTTAGGTCAAAGAGGTCTCTTTGTTGCAATTAAGATAATAACTGTTGAAATAACAACAATTTACTGGGAGATACTATTGGAACATAAACAATGGTTCCTAAGAAGACCTGATACTGTGTTATAAGATCAAAAACATGCTTGCCACTTACTGAAATTAGTTTTTTGTTTTTGTTTTTTAAAGTATGACCAAGAACTACTGTAGGCTTTCTCT